GGAACCGCGAAGGCCAACAACTTGATCATAGCGATGAAGGAGCACTTGAAGCGCCTGATGGAAACGTTCCGTAGGAATGGACGTGAAGAAGCCTGACAAGTCTTGCGACACCAGGTGTACTCATCAGGATCTGCTTTTGACAGTGCTTCCCACAGCTGCTGGATAAGTTCTTGTACTGAGAGTTGACCTGCAATGTCGGGGAAGGCTGCCTTGGTGAGTTCAAATATAAGTGCACCGAAGACCGTGAGGAAGGGAGCTGCCCATGTGCGAAAGAATGAGATGATGGGTCGAGCTTTCTGCCAGTCCTTGGTCGGCTTTGGGAGGATGCGCGCTGTGGGCAACGGTGCTTGAAGTCGAAGGCCCCATGCATATCGTTGACGTAGGAGAGAAGGTACTGTGTTTACCACTTCAGAGCGAAAGGATGCTGCAGATTCGCGGCAAAGTGAGAAGACATCCCCCGCGCAGAATGTCTTCCGCATCAATATGCCAAACAGGGACGGGCACATCACATGTGCGCGGGAGGGGAAATGATCCGCCGGGATGACTACCCACGAAGACAAAGAAGCCACAGTGCGTTGCAACGATGTCGATGACCAATAAGCCCGATCTTGAAGGTTGATCCGATGAGTATCCATTAGCTGAGACACAACTGGCTGTAGATCTGAAAGCAGACCGGAACCATGTACATGCCAGCGTCGAGCAAGTTTGCGAAGTTGTGTGGTGAAACGTTGATGCAATAAGTCGACATCACCGAAAAACTGATCCTTCATCGAGGCGGTCATGATTTCAATGTTAATGTCCGCATTGATGCGAGAAAACTCATCCAACATTACTGCGTGACCATGTGCACGGTGTAGATGGCTATCATCGATGTCCAAACAGCGACACGGAAAGAATGTGTCAGGCGCCCATTTGCGCTGCCATGTGCGATAGTTGTATATCTTGTCGCCCAGTGTGGCGCTGCGAGTTTCCACAACCCGGATCTTTGGAAGGAAAAGAGAGGGGAACAGATCCCGATGAGAAGCAATCCAGCTTTGTAACCATGTGCCCAGTAGAGCTTTCCAATTCTGGACATGCAGCGGCGGCAAAAGTAGCTGTGTTAAAGTGGTGGGTGGTTGTAGCCGTCGTTTGCGTAGTACCTGGGCGAGGAGCTTCTGGGCCTTGGAGCGGAAGGGTTCGTTGACAAATACTGCGAGCCGCAATAAGTAGTACAGCTGAGTGGGAGGGAAAGCGGCTGACAGTAGGTCACGCATGACTTGGAACGACGCTCCTGTATTCGATCCCAGCTGATAGAGGATCGAGTAGTGGGCTTGAATGTCATCCAGGGTGTCAGGTCGTAGTTGCCGTTGGAGATCCGGATGTAGTCGTCGTCGAAAGCGCTTGTGCAAGCCGAGGGAAGTGGGCGACGACAACGAGTGGCGTCGAAAATCTACAAGATGTTCCCGGAAGCCCACCTTGCGCAAGATTCTGTGTACCCAGGGCGCATTCAAATGCGGGCGTAGCAGGAATTGCCATTTGCTTTCTTGAACCCACACCGAGGAAACAGGAAGTTTGATTTCCACTGGTACAGCACAGAAGAGCCAGTAAGTGTTGGATCGCTTCCAGTAGTGAAGCGCCGGTTCAAAGAAGGCATGCCGTCCACGAAGTAGTTGTAGAAATTTGCGACTGCGTGAGTGTTCACGACGTAGAACATCCTGATCAGTCGCCCCAACATAGTATGGTGCGTGCCATGGGGAAAGTCGAATGTAGACGCACGGTTGTTGGTGATGACCTGGATCATGTATGAAGTCGTAGAGGTCAGGAAATCGCGCCCGCAATGAGCGTAGATGTCGCGTGTCAGCGAAAGTTGAGTGCATGATTTCACACAAGAGAGAAGTCTTGTAGAAGTGAAGAACTTCGAAGAACGGCGGGATGTAGCCGTGATCCTGTGAAATGAGACGTTGTAAGAAACTGATCAATAAATAGGCAGCGCACCGACATCTGTGAAGTTCGTACCTGTTGGCCACGGTGTGCTGAGAGTTTGACATAGCGCAATTCGGAATCTGGAGGGCTATCCGGACCATAACTAAGACCTCGATGATGAGACCCAGCCACGGCAATTGTGTGATGGATTCGTACTCCTCAATTGGAATCGACGGTGGTGGTAGTCCAGGGAAACAGTAATGCCAGCACGTCGAGAATGTAGTCAACGAGTGCAGAAGGTCGTCCAGCGACTGCCATTGTGCAACATCATCATAGATTCCGCAATGGCGAAGTTCATCCAACATGGTGAGATGCAACCAACGAAATCTACCACAAGGCGGCGACATGAATACAAGCATCACAGACAATCACACAAGAGGCAATGCAAGAACAAGCAAGTACAAAATCAATCATGTGCAACGCAAACACTTGACGGACGAGTTTTCACCTGGACTCATCCGTGACATTGTTGCCGCTCCGGGCTCATATGAGAACGAAGGTCGATATGATGCCTTCTCATCCACAAAGCAGGCGAGCGGTCACGATGAGGTGACTCAATGCCTTCTCGGTGAGTTTGGTAAGGTACCCGGGTTCAAGACCCCATAGTGCTGCCATTGCACCGAGTGTGGGCGCATCGCCCTTCGGCATGCGCTGCCTGGCCTGAAGAAGCTGCGTCGCCATAGAATCTAACGACTTGTTGCCGTTGAGCCGGGACGGGTGATTGGCCCACTTAACCAGCGACGCCAAAGTGGTTGTTGTGGGTGCTTGCTTGAGGAAAAGGCGAGGTTGGTCACTGGTCCATGTGTAGTACTTGACAACTTCATCCGGCGTGCTGTGCATGGTGAGCAACTGTGACGCCGCCGGTTTGGACGGCGGTGACGACACTCCGTGAAGAGACTGCATGATCCGAGGTTGCACCACGCTATCAAACGACTTGCCATCCAGGGCGGCCGCGCTGGCTGTGGGCAGGGAGCTGGCAGGTGACGAGGATGGTGTGTGGTTGACCGGTGGCGGTGTAACCAACTCTGCATCATCTTTCTGGTTTGTCATCGTGGGCGAGGTCGATGCGCGAAGTGATGCGGAATACTGAGCCTGTAGAAGTTCATGTGCACGATTCAAGTCATTGAACTTCTTGACCATGTCATCGGTCTGGGCAGCAGGTGCGAGAGAGGTGTGATGTTGTTGAAGAAATTGAAGTACCAGGTTGGCCAAATGGTCGTGGACCTTGATGCGCTGATTGAAGTCATCAATGTTGAGACCCAGCGTGTTGGCAAGGTCCTTTTCCAGGGTGAGCAGGTTGAGTGACTGCGATCTTCGTAGTAATTTGGAGCAGGTACTCCAAAGTAAGGCTTCAGTGCGGGTGCGAAAGCCTTCCCACGTCACGAATCGGCCGTGTGCAAACGGCCTGAGCAGCCAGTTGGTGAGGCCCCCGTGGATAACCTGAACCAGGCGTACGTCCCTAATATCCATGCCTGACATGTCGCGAAGGTTGCCATGTGGAGTGTTGGCAACAGTCATGGGCAGGCTGAAGTTGTAGAGTTGATTGACATCAAACATGCCATCTGCAGGTGTCCAGTCAGGCGAGGGAGTAAGCCAGGCTTTCTGAGGACGAACCGGTAGAGCTGCAGGAGGTCCAGGTGAAGGTGTAGGTTGGGAAGTAGTGACCGGTGGTGGCATCATTGGTGGGATGAACTTGGACGGTGTGGGATCAGGAGGGATCGGCATCATGTAGTTGATCGCCGGGTATTGGAATTGCTGTGTGGGGTTGTGAGTCGATTGAAAATTGGTAGGCACCATCGGAAAGTTGTTAGCAGCATTGTAGCCGGAGTTGTGTTGCCATGAAACCAAGTTGTTCCAATCCATGTTCTCCGAGACCTGGTTGTCATTGTGCTCACGTCGGCGTGCTTTGTGAGCTTGAGGGGACGGACTCCGATCACGTCTGCGTCGAGTCCTGGATCTATCACGATCATCACGTCGAGACATGGTGACGCAACCAGATCGGAATTTGCACACTTCCACCTTGAGAGAATCAGACCCGACAATATTCAAATCCATGCAAATGCAAGTTAGCGGCCCTCAACTGCAATGGTCGAGCGAAATGTACAAGGCAAAGCAAATACAAGTCAGCAATCGACAACCGCAATGATACGAGCAACAAGTTCAACCAATGGTCAAGGTAGGCAATGAAAATCGGCAGCTATCAACTATGGTGAGACGTCACTATGAACTGACGGCTTTCTTCCCTTTAGTGAAACCTCGTTCCTGATTAAATGTGAAATTCCGCTGTTCTATGATACGCACGTTGAGGTCAAATTTTCCGACAGAGCCGGCCCGGGGTCACACAATGGGTACACCCGAGGATTCCCCACGAATGGGGTGTACACACTTGAACTCCAGATGGAGAGTGCTAATCTTTCGAGTACAACTGATGAGTCTCGAGTACAACCGACAAGTCTCGAGTATGATGAGTTTCGGCTCTCAATGCACTTGGCTTCCCTCTAGTGTCGAACACGTTACGAGAAAGAACAAGAAGCACAAACAGCGCCGCAACCAAGGGGCCAAAAGGACTTTCAGAATCACTGAAGCAGGTACAGGTGTCCACGTCTGGACACCCTTCCCACCTTTGGCAACAGCTTCATTGCGTGCAGTATGCCAAAGGTGCTGCACGCCCCTGCTGCGAAACCGAAAGGGTGGTGACAGGGCATTCTGTCACTCCGCACACACACACACACACACACACCGGAGAAAAGAGCCAAGGCAAAAGAACAAGTCTTCCTCGAGCGCTTTGGTTGCAGCAGTGAAACTGACCGCACCTAGACGGTCACTGAGTCTTTGGCAGTGGGAGCTCCACCTTGTCAACTAAGGCTTGATTCGAAGAGATCCTCTCTCGGCCGGGGAAAAACAACAAAAAAAACAACAACATGTGGGACATCCAGTGGGTCCATCTTTTTCCCAGCACCTTCAAGACCCCCAAAGATCAAGGTGACAGCCGACCACCGGCCACATCGATCAGTCCAAGCCGAGGTCGAGGTCCCGGCGCGGCCGAAGCGGAAATCTGCGAGCCAGGCGGAGGCCTGAGGTCGCCAGTTCGATGAAATTTCCAGATCAGAGTCATCGTTTCTTTTTGCAGGGAATTTTATTTTTCAGCCGTCACCTACAATTAAAATTACATTGAAAAAAGAACTTGCAAGTTATTCATTTAAGAACCTTTTACAGGTTGGTACAAAGGAAAAGCAAAAGGAAGCCCACCGTGTTGGGGGTCCAAATCCTTGTTTTGGCACGAACCTCGGTGTGGGCTTTTAGGGAGGTTTGGTGATCTTATGTAGGTTTAGGCTGGGATTGACCTGTCGACCCCTTGTCCAAAATCTGGCGGCTCCCCCTTTTTGCGGGTGGGAAACTAACCCCTCTGAGAGTCTGAGACAAGTGTCTTGACCCACCACAAAAAGAGTCAAAATGTGAACGCCTCTTTCCCGTTGCAGACTTTTCGTTTTCGCCGTGATACCTCCTACAACCCAGTCGAACGATTGAATTGTACCATCGCGCCTCGCCATCCTAAAATCATCATTTGTTCAGCAGGGAACTTGCCCCGCAAACAAACCATTCCCCGCAGCTACATGTCCTTCTTTGATTGGAAGGGGGTTGGATCAGCCACTTGCTCAATATGCGTAAGCAGCCGTTCGTGACACAGCATCTCCTTGGTTTCCCTTCCAAGGAAGCTGTCTGGTTGAGGCAATTTCGCCCAAACCTGGTAACCACCCCACATTTGTATCAATCCTCGGATTCTGGTGTGGGGGGCTGTCTCCAAACGGGGAACCTCCAAATTGGGTGGCTTTCCTTTCGGTTTCCCTGGTCCCCATGAGTACCAATCAACGCGGCTCCAAGGACCGAAACCAAATCGAAGGCCTCATCCTCCGTGAGCCGTTTGATCACGCCCTCCAAGGGCCCGGTCTCGTGCAGTACCGCCTCACAAAGCACCAAGCCATTGAGCCCCGGTTGGAGGAACTGCGTCGCAACGCCTATCCAAAGTAAATTATCTCATATGCGGGGTTTACATGTTGCATGAGAAGGGATACTGAAAACTGACGGGTGGTGCACAGAAGCTGCATGGAAAACCCTCCATCAAACAGCTCTCAGCTGCAATCATAGGTGTGCCTACAAATGGGGAATTCTCCTTGGGTGTATCTGAGGTCTTCGTATTTTTTGACATGCAACTGCTTCTATCGTCCGATTACGACTCAGCCCAACCCTACACATCTCTCACAGGCAGATGTGCCAGACGGCAAGGGGCAGTGAGTCTCATTCTGGCTACATTATGGTGTAAACATCGTTTGCGTGACAAAAGACAAAGGGCACCCAGAAAGCTGAACTGCGGCGAATGCTAACCAAGTTGTGGCAGGATGAAATGCAGCAACTCAGGGACCTTTTAGGGGCCATCAGGAACGAAACAATGGGCCGAGATGGGTGGGAGCCCAAATGGAAAAGAACAGGGGGGGTCCCACCACTTTGACACACACCCAACACTGCTGGGATTGAAAGGGCATTTGTCCTTGGAACGAGACTCTTGCCATGCCCAATGGGGCCAACAAATGTGCGGAAGATCATACCTGGGACTGGCATGGAGGCCATGCAAAGGCCAGCAAAACACTCACGAAGTTGGCTTGGAAAAAGACACACCTGTTGCACCTGTGCGGCCCTTTACAGTACGCAAATGAAGAAGACTTCAGATCCCCACTCCCGCTGATTCCTTGAGGCCAGCGCCCGGGCACGGGACACGATGTCCAAGCCCAGCTTGAAGGACAAAAAGGGCGCGACAACCTCCGAGCCAAGGTTCTCTCGGAAACGTGGAAGTTCCCAGAAAGTTGGCCTGTTCCGCGTAGAATGTCCTGCTGGTTTCTTGGAAAGATGAAACCCTGCGAAACGGCGACCCGAAAAGACTCAAACCTCCTCGAAGTTTCTTCGAAGCCGACTGAAGGGAAAACCTGGCAAGAAGCCTTGCCGAAGCCTAGCAAGCACTTTGTTCTGTTGCTTGCTTCTGGTTGTGACTGATTGTTTTGAGTGTTGCTTGTGTGTTTGGCTTGTGCATATGGCTATGTTTTTGTTCTTGTTGGGTCGTTCAAAGGCTGAAAGGAAAAAGCACCATGCTTGGGGTCGCCCTATTTTGACACATACCCATAATATGGTGTGCGGTTCGCGCTGTGGATGGACACCAGTTCGGATGTGTGCTTTTTCATAGTATTCAAATCGGGTTGATTCCATCCCGAGTGGTGCCTGGAGTAAAGTTGCAGCTATCCACAGTATGATGGTTTTCCTTTTGGCTTCCCTTTGAACCAACCTAAAAAGGCGTACGCTCCAAAGCCACACACCCATGAGGGTGCGTCTTCAACAAAGGTAGCGAAGACGAAGTCGCCGTGTTCTCTTCGAAACCGCCCCAATATGGCGCCCTCGAAAAGTTCGCCTGTGCGCGCCCGTTTCCCGGTCCCTGGCGCTCGCCTGCGCGACATCGGTGATCTCCTGGTCCAGCGCTTTCAGACCGGAGCCTGGCTCTCGCGCCGACACTCGGCCGATTCGACAGGGTTCCCAACTGATTTTGCCTGAAAGGATGATTTTTGAACATCACCTCCTGGATAGGCCGATTTAAGGTGAGCTTCCTTGTGGTTTTATTCTGGGGAGCCCTGTTTGAGTTGGAGTGCGGCCGCGACCTTTTACCCAATTGCAACCAGCGCCCCACCATTGCGGTGCGGAATACGTGGATATGAAACTCAATTAGGAAACATTTGGTGGACATCATTTACGTGGGGATGTATGTCCAGAGGGTGAAGGTTCTCCATTCAGGCTCAGTCAAAACTACTGGGAAGAATGCGAGTCTCCTTTGCATTGCCATCGGTCGCTTGTTTATCGCAAAGTTGGTTCGCACCTTTTGTGAAAAGACTTAGAAGACTTGGGTGGACCTTCGTGATTTGGTTGCCAGTGCAGATTGGAGCCTTTTTCCAACGACCCTGCGCATATTGGGTGCCTGGGCAAATGATGACTCGGGTGTGACCCAGCTGAACAAACGGTGTGCCACGAAGAAACCAATTGGGTTTGTGTCGAAATAAGGGCGGTGTGGGTGGAATGAGGTCAATCTATTTGATTGATATTGGATAACTGAGTCGCTGCTATGTCCATGTGAATCGTGGATCCCTTCCCTTCCTCTCCAATTCAAACGTTGCTTCGCACTGATGCAAGCCAAAACCAATACGGACCAAAGTTTGCACACGGCCGAAAGTTTGCAGGCATTGGAGAGGCATAGAATGTGGAGACAATCCCGGGCAAGATGAAACATGAAGTCCCCCTTTGAGGAACACGAAACTCTGATGTGGGAGCAAAAATGATTCGTCGGCGCAACCTCTCGAAAGGAAATGCATGCTTGGATGACCTCCACCTAGAAAGTGTTTAAGATCCCTGGTTCATGGGTTGAGCCCGTGCAATATCCCAACATTGCCCCCTCCCCTCATGACGGATGCTCCATGAATCCCGCAGACTCTCCCCACACTCCCAAACGTCCCTGTCAGAGGCTTGCTTGCAAGTTACGAGAAGCCTGGAACCTATCTGAGGGCGTTGATTGAGCCTGAAATCACGCCAGTGGCTTATTGCCCGTGACATAGCCATGATTTTGTCAGGGAACCAACACAATAACCACGGCTAGACGTGACCTGCTCAACTAACTGTGTGGTTGATGAACCTTGAGGGACAGGGTTGTGCCCCCGAAGGAGTGCGAAGGATTGAGGGATCATCTAAAACAAAATAATCCAATCAGCTGATGTTCCACTGGAGCTCTGAACTCTAAGTACGTTCGCACCGGTCCCGGTGAAGTTTGTTTCGTGTACGTGTACAGTCTCTCCCCCCTGAACATCACCCCACCAAGCAGGAAGCTCACTTCAAAATGGCAACCAAAAGGCGAGATGATTGAATCACCCAACCAAAAAGGAGGAAGTATAAGGACCCCAACACTTCCTGAGTGGATTGGCAAGAAAGGTCCAAAATGTCATTTTGCCACTAACACGGTCCAAGCCCGGAAAGTTTCAAGCAACCAAGAACTCAGGAAGTGAGCCCCACTTTCACATGATCTGCTTTTTGGAGGGTACCCTTCGTTCTATGGTGACAAAACCAAGACGGAAACCAACGGATTTTGGCTGGGATACCCCCCACCTCCCAAACCGAGCGCCCCCCAAATCCGCCCAAAGGGCCTTCTCTAAGCTCCCGCGGGTTCAGCGGCAAGATCCGGGCGGAGCCCTCATCCCCGAAGAGCCCGGTGAAAATCAGCTCCTCCGGAATGGAACCCGCGAGAACCCCCAAGAGTTTGAGCACCACCCCGGATTACTCAACCTGGTGGAGTCATTTGGCATGGTAATGGGGGGTGTTCATCAGCTGAAAAAAAAAGTGAAGGTAGTGGAAAATCACATTTGAGAAATCGGTCGGGATTCCTCCATTGATATCACAAGTTGCTCTAAAACCCAACTTCCACATGCCCCCCGAAGTGAGCACCAGAATATCAAGTGGTGAAAACAAGTCGGCGCTGGCAGCCCCTTCGCAAATGAAAGTGGAACCTTTTCTGGACTTTTACACGGGGCCCTGTCCGACCACTTCCGAGCATTTCATAGCCAAATGCGTTCCGAGTGTTGAAATTCGAGCCTGGGGAAGCAAAAGTACCCAAACCAAACCCCCCATGGACCTTCCATCGGGCCTCTTAGACCGAAGCGCCCGGACTCTTGTCCCTGTTGACACTGTTGAGCAAAGGGACCATGGACCAAACGCGCGTTTGGTCCAGCTCGACAAGCTCGACTGCACACCCTTGGACTGCTGTGTGCAAGAGTGTTGATGCCTCTTGGCTAGATAGCCTTCCTCCTGCCATTTCAAAGTATATGTCTCTGTGTGTGTGTGTGTGTCCCAACTGTGGAGTCCTTGGGACGGGCGTTCCAGGGAAAGGGAAAAGACACCCGCCATTTCGCACGTCATATGCAGGCGCGGGTGCATAAGCGAATGCATGTATGCATCGCATATATGAGTTCAAATGATGTTTCGATGGATGCACATATCAAAAAGAATACATGGGCAACAGTACAAATGCAAATGTATACCCAACAGGCTTCCACTACTTGAGGGCCTGGCCTGGAAGATAAATTATCTCAGAGGTGAACTGAACTACTACCAATCCCATATTCCATTATGTCCGGTCGGTTTGCTAGCGTAGCCCTACCTGGGTCCTGTCCGCTGGTTCCAAAATTTCATATGATGCATGTTGGAGAGTCCGAGTCCAGGGACAACAAAAGCGAACAACAATTTTGCAGGTTGAACACATTGAAGCCTTAGACGCTTCCCCGCTCGCGACTCGGACGCCGGCGGAGGGGAAATCACCCAAGTGGAATAAGCACGTTCAGGACCTTGCAAATGGGAATTTTCAGGGGACCAATTTCAGGAGCCGACTATTTTCAGACATTCCCATCTATCTGGAGACGATCATCTGGCACACTCCCCCGTGTCATGTTTGCTGGCTGGCATGCATGTATGGCTGTGGTCATCAAAACCAATGGTACCATTTTGGGGGTTTTGGGTGCACCCATTTTAATCGGGATTTTAGTGGTTGGATTGGGATGTTTTATTGGGGGATAACCGGGCGTACGATTTAACTTTTGACCCATGGCCGTAGATGCGCCTTGCCCGCGCTGCCCCCGCCTCAGGGCGGTAGAGCTGCTCCGCGGCGTCCAGCTCCGCCGCCTCGGCCTTGGCCTTCGTCAGCTGCTCCTCCGAAGCGCGGACTCGGCCGGCCGTAGCCGCGGCCGCCACCGGCGGTGATTTCGGTTGGTTGGATTTTCGAGCCAAGGCCATGGCCTTTGTGCCCGAGCAAAAAGCCCAGGTCTGCGTTGTTCTGTGAAAAGAAGGGATTTAGGTAAGCCTATGTCTCATAATAGCTGTCGAAGCCCGAGCGATGTCCGACACGGCAAAAACTCGCCCTGTCGCCCACTCTGGGTGGGTTGAGCGATGAGAACAGTCCTGCGCTTTCCCTGCATCAAAAAGCTCGGTGCACGGATCTGCGGATACATTTTGGCGAGTAAGCCAACTAAGAACCCATGGAGAAATCCAAGTGCAGATGGACAAATCCTCGCTGCACCTTTGGGCTCTCGGTCATGGATTGTAAGGCTGAACGTGTGGGTTCCTTCACTTTCCTTATGAGAAACTGCCATCCAGCCGTGCTGTTTCAGGCTCCGAACTTCGGAAGCCTTCCTGAGTCAAGTTGATCCTTTTGCCTCCAGGTCCAAGCTTACCAAGGATATGCAGGTTGCCGTTCCCGCATGCTAAAGCAAGAACAGGGCCCTTTGAAATGGGCTTCTACACGACTACTGGTCGCTCGGAAACCCTTTTTGTGGGACCGCTATCATGCCAAGCTTGAACGAGCAATGCAAATAGCCAACTGGACCTGGGTTCAAAACAAAAACACTGCCCTGGAAAGAACCAACGCCAAACGGCCCAAAAACTGCCAGAGCGCAAAAGCAACGTAAGCCGCACCCCTGCGCGCGCCTGCTTCTTGTCCTTGAAGCCCAGGTCCAGAACACAGAAGCCTCCCATTCTCATGCTCAGCAGGTGCGGGTGTTGCTTCGAAAACAACACAAAAAACAGCAAAGGCCAAGTTCTGTGTGGAAGGCGAGCAGTCCGCTTGGCCGGCAAGCGTTGTGAAAATCGGCGAGGAAACCGGGCTTTAAAGAACGAGAGAAACTTAAGTTATTGAGGCCGCGCACTCCACCAGACCTCCCTAAATCAAAACCTGGTAAACGGCTATACCCCAAATCCATGGAAAAAATCGTGTTCCTTGCCAACCTTATAAAATAAGATGGCTGACACAGCTTGCGAACTGACAGCCGGTGGGTTCGGCCTTAGCCTGTGGATCAGTTGTGAGGGAACCCAATATAGGCTTGTCAATGAGCGTTCCACTTCACAAGCTGGTCAGGCAGTGGGCAAGTCTCACAAACAGGCAGAAAGTGCAAAAAGGACAGCTCCGTGGCGCCGTGCTTGCCGTCACAAGACTCTTCGGCAATTGACAACGGGGAAATGGGTGTATATATATATATATATATATATATATCTGTGTATATGTCTATATATTATTATTATTATTATTATTATTATTATTATTATTATTATTATTATTATTATTATTATTATTATTATTATTATTATTATTATTATTATTATTATTATTATTATTATTATTATTATTATTATATTATTATTATTATTATTATTATTATTATTATTATTATTATTTATTATTATTATTATTATTATTATTATTATTATTATTATTATTATTATTATTATTATTATTATTATTATTATTATTATTATTATTATTATTATTATTTTTTATTATTATTATTATTATTATTATTATTATTATTATTATTATTATTATTATTATTATTATTATTATTATTATTATTATTATTATTATTATATACACATAAGGTTTGAAGGTTCCCCTTTTTGCGGTGACAGCTTGAAATATGTTCAAAGGGTCGCTTGTCTTGTGGTGCCCCTTCGACATCCTGCAACCGGCCTGCAACCGTGACTTCCCAATTTAGGACAAACCCATTTCGTTCCCAGGGAAATTCCAACACGGACCCTCAACCAACGCTCTCCGCTCCGCGCCTTGCACCGCCAAATTGCTGGCCGCCGCCTCCGCGGCCGCGTCCCGCTCCGCCGGCGGCAGATCCAGTCCGAAGCGCAGAGGCTTGGAAGCCATTGCGCACGGCACCCCCGGAAATGGCCCCAGCCTGGATAGACTCCCATTTGAATATGTCTAATATTCTATAACCTATATACATATATATATATACATATATGTATATGTATGCATATATAAGTACATACTTACATACATGTGTGCTTCTTCTTATCGGAGGGTCCGGCCCCCCAATTCTGAGACACAATGTCTGGGTGGTTGGCTTCTGTGGGATGGATTGGTGGCCAGTGCCTTTTGGCAACATCTACAAGTGAGGTTGTGAGCGTTGGCTATGGAGACATGTGGCGCCATGTTGCAACGAGCTGACTACGGCGCTGCACCAACGCATTCCAAAGCTTTTGGTTGCATCGCACTCTGCCCCCCTCCCCTTTTGGAGCCTAAACACTGCCCAGCAGAAGCTGTATGCAGGATTCCAGCGGTTGGGCATCACAGCCACAATATGCCACGTCCGCCCTCCCCGACCAATGCACCAGAACCCCAGAGTGCATCACCCCTAACAACCTGCTGTCTGCAAGAGAATCGTATATGGGTGCGGATTTATTTTGGGAATTTTTTTCGTTTTTTTTTTGGATTTTTTTTCGTTTTTCGTCCGGGCCAGCAAAATGTTGTATTTTACAGCATTTTCTCGCGAAATTGACGCATTTTACACTAGCTCGTCAACATCCCCAGCATCGTTTTCAACATCCCCCGCATGTCCGACCAACATCCCTAGCATCACCAACAAATCGTGGGTAACAAAATCCAAAAATGTAGCTGGCGGGTTGACGGGGTCAAAACAATAACGCTTCAAACAGGAGGGCATTTCAATCCCAGCAAAAAAAAATACCAAAAAACAATTAAGAAAAACAGAGCGGGGTAGTGATGATTCGAACAGGGGTGCAATTAAATCTCTGCAAAAAGTCTAAAAAGTAGCGGGGGGGTTGGGGGGGGCGGCAGCCCCCCCCATGATGTTCGAAGAATTGATGATTCAACTAGGGGTGCAATTAATTAAATCTCTGTAGAAAATCTAAAACGTAGCGGGGGGGTTGGGGGGGGGCGGCAGCCCCCCCATGATGTCGGAAGAAGTGGTGATTCAAGTAGGGGTGCAATGATTCAAGAAAGGGTGTGATAGAATTTAACAGGCAGCGGGAGGGTTGGCGGGGGTGGCTTCCCCTATGATGTTCGAAGAAATGCATACATACAGACATACACGGACTACACAGATTACCTAAAATGTCGTATTTTGCAGCATTTTCTCGCGAAATTGGACGCTCGAAAAAGTGATGATTCAAACAGGGGTGCAATTCAATCTCTGCCGGGCCAGTAAAGTGTCGTATTTTACAGCATGTTCTCGCGAAATATACCCGCATGTCCCACCAACATCCCTAGCATCACCAACAAATCGTGTGACGGGGTCAAAGAAATGATGATTCAAGTAGGAGGCCATGTCAATCCCTGTAAAAAATACATAAAAAGTAGCGGGGGGGTTGGGGGGGGGGCGGCAGCCCCCCCCACGATGTTGTTTGCAGAAGTGATGATTTGAATAGGGGTGCAATTAAATCTCTGCAAAAAGTCTAAAAAGTAGCGGGGGGGTTGGGAGGGGCGGCAGCCCCCCCCCATGATGTTCGAAGAATTGATGATTCAACTAGGGGTGCATCTCTGTAGAAAATCTAAACGTAGCGGGGGGGTTGGGGGGGGCGGCAGCCCCCCCCATGATGTCGGAAGAAGTGGTGATTCAAGCAGGGGTGCAATGATTCAAGAAAGGGTGTGATAGAATTTACAAGGCAGCGGGAGGGTTGGCGGGGGTGGCTTCCCCTATGATGTTCGAAGAAATGCATACATACAAACATACACGGACTACACAGATTACCAAAAAGTCGTATTTTGCAGCATTTTCTCGCGAAATTGGACGCTCGAAAAAGTGATGATTCAAAGAGGGGTGCAATTCAATCTCTGCCGGGCCAGTAAAGTGTCGTATTTTACAGCATGTTCTCGCGAAATATACCCCGCATGTCCCACCAACATCCCTAGCATCACCAACAAATCGTGTGACGGGGTCAAAGAAATGATGATTCAAGTAGGAGGCCATGTCAATCCCTGTAAAAAATATATAAAAAGTAGCGGGGGGGTTGGGGGGGGGGCGGCAGCCCCCCCCACGATGTTGCTTGCAGAAGCGATGATTTGAATAGGGGTGCAATTAAATCTCTGCAAAAAGTCTAAAAAGTAGCGGGGGGGTTAAGGCCGCCCCCATGATGGTCGAAGAATTGATGATTCAACTAGGGGTGCAACCCCCCCATGATGTTCGAAGAATTGATGATTCAAGTAGGGGTGCAACTAATTAAATCTCTGCAGAAAATCTAAAACGTAGCGGGGGGGTTGGGGGGGGCGGCAGCCCCCCCCATGATGTCGGAAAAAAGCCACCTGCCGAAGAGGAACTGGGAATGCAGAGGATGCGAAAAGCCAAAAAGCCACCAAAAGCCGCATAAACCAGCAAAAAGCCGAAAAGCCTAGAAGCCCAGAAGCCGAGAAGCCAAGAAGCCGAAAAGCCAAGAAGCCAAGAAGCCAAGAAGCCAAGAAGCCAAAAAGCCAAGAAGCCCAGAAGCCGAGAAGCCGAGAAGCCAAGAAGCCAAGAAGCCGAGAAGCCAAGAAGCCAAGAAGCCGAGAAGCCAAGAAGCCAAGAAGCCAAGAAGCCAAGAAGCCAAGAAGCCAAGAAGCCAAAAGCGAAGAAGCCAAAAGCGAAAAAAAAATCCCCAAAAAAAACGAAAAAAAAATCCCAAAATAAATACCCCTCCATCGTATATTTCCCCTGACAAGTGTGAGAGCTATGGCGTTCAGCTATCTCGGATACTGCGAGGCAAACAGAACTTGACTTGAGAAGACAGGTGACCTCTGCCCTCCGAATTCAGCTCAGCCACCTTCCAAACAAGGGGCATGGACTTTGCCTAGGTGCATGTCAACCCGTGAGCCAGTTGTTTGGCCGGGCCGCAGCTCAAACAGCACTGAAATTTAACGACCCTCTTCATCGGACGTGAGCAAACGATGGCCAATGAACCAGGCTATATTTCATCCGAGTTCTGGAGACATCGAATCAAGTGAACGACCATGGCCAAAGAACCAGACCATAGCTCTGCTTGGGAACAAACCCTGGCCGGCTCTACTTGCCAACTGCACATCCTCTCGGACAAGCATGTTGAACAAAAGCATGCAGCCCCCCTTACTGGGCCTTGCCTTGCCAATTCCTAAAATCCATCAGGGTTCGGTAAGATACATCCAAGAACCACCAATCGGCCTAAATCTATCCTTGAAGGAACCCTGTTATTGAGAAAGCCAACATGACATACAGCTTCAATGACAATACTGTTTGTTTCAAGCAACTCATCCCACATTCGCCTCTTACCCATCCGCCCCCTCGGCCATGATGCAGCTGGTTGTGCCTCACTTTGCTGCATCCGGTTCATTTCTTGCAATTGGCATTCAGGCAGTGCTAAGCAAGTCCTGCTTTCTGAAATTGACATTTGATGCATTATTTTGAAAAGTGACATGTGGCAACGTGAGTGCCCAGCACCCAAGCATAGCGTGGGTCCTCCAACTGATGTGGGCACCATCCCAAAGTTCATGGCAGCATCTAAAATTTCAGCTAGTATTGCCTAGTCGAATTGCCCAATTTCAAAGTCGTATTGCCCAAAACTAAAGCAGTTTATCAAGGACTATGCCGGTCGTATTCACCTTGGCCTGCGGTGCTATTCATCCGTCAAAGGTAGTTGTGGCTCATGTATTCCAAAATAGATAAATCTTCCCTGATACGAGGGGGACCACCCCTGATAAGTACACTAAAATTACCACGTGGGACCCAGGCTGCCGCCCGCGGCTGCTGCCCGCCGCCGCCTCTTCCACAATCTGCGGCACCGGCACGTCAACCAAAACTTCCACCTGCAGGCGGGCAATCGGCGTCTGCAAGCATGGGTGGCGTTATGGGTGGCTGTGTGTACGGCCACCCGAAATGTGGGGACGCGTTCAAAACAATCTCAAAAGGAAACTAGGCCATACATTTCCAATCAAAGAGGGGTTGCTTGAGACTATGAAACTGTCACGCTTCACTCCAGTTGCTCTGCAACGATTAGGAGCGAAACGAGAAGGGGCAGCATGCGTTCCCCGAATAGTCTACAACGAAAGTTGTGCCATTTGAGGCTCTTTGCCAGCCCCGATAATTAAGTACAGGGCGACTGATAAGCTGTGTCCTGAGAAGCACAGAATGGGTTCACCTGCCGATTCTTGGTCCAAGAATTATATTGCTGTTGGAGCAAGCATGTTTGCTTGATCAAGTTCTAGAGAGTGATGAGGACTTGTCAAAGTAACCTGACCCAATTCCTCCAAATCCCATGCTTCTGCCTATTGCATTGCCTTCGACCAGTCAGATTGCAAGAGACCGAGCAACCCACAGCAGGCAAGACCAAACCCTGTGAGGCAGAACACCGAAATGAGTCGATGTGCGTGGACGTCCGCACTCCTGTTCTGGGTGGGCTGGTTTTGGACAGAATGATTGCGACTTAAGTGAAGCCAGTCAAAGCGGCCATGTGTATGCGGTCCAAGCGGGAGCTGATGGGTGTCTGTCGGTCACATGAGGGGCAACTCTTGGGACTAGGATCAGACATCACTTTCGCGCAGCGGCTATTGCCCGTTCAAGTAGACCTGTCAGATCTGTTTCTTCGGGATATCATGTATGCCACCAGCCTCATAAACAGAGTTCCCCCAACAAGGACCTTCAGCCCAAAGCCGAAGCTGTGCTTGCCCCTGTGCCACTTAAAAAAGAAAGTGGGTGTGTCTGTCATGGAGGGTACCCTTTTGTTTCAAAGAGAAACCTACAGAAGAACAGACAATGAGAAGCAGCGAAAACCCCAGGTACAAGCAATGATAACCCTGCAGAAGAAGCTTCATAAGTCGGTTGCATGATGTCGAATGTAGGGTAAATCTTACTTGGAGAACCTACTACTAACCAGGGTTGTTCATGTTATTCAGAATTTCTAGCTGGGATCATCATCCCAGCAAGATTCAAGAACGGCCGTTCACCGTCCATTCTGCAAAAGGTTGGACCAGTTCACTCAAATGTGAACAGCTTAACACTAAGCAGGCTAAGCCTACAAATCAGCTTCAGGGCAAAATGGCACTTGGAGACTTCCAACGAACTTTTCGTAACGTGCGATTTTGTGGAACCCAAGGTGACTCGGATGCTTTCTGCCCGCTTCAACTCCCCCTCCACTGACCGGCGCACCGGTCTCTGGATGACACGCTCCTCCTTCATGATCCTGAGGCAGGATCGTGGCCGGGCACAAGTCAGAAATCTGGGTTGTGCACTTCGAAAGTTGCAAATCACTGGCGGGTGCGACTCAAACTGCCACTTTTGGACGTCCCAGCAAAGAGAAATTGAAATTGCTGGCTCGCCAGCTTCCGTGTGAAGTGGCTCCACTCACCATGATGTAGAGCCTTCATTTATTGATCGTGCGCAAAGCGCAAGGGGAAAGTAGAAATTGCGGGGCAAATTCATGTATGCTTCCTCTTGTTGTCTGAATAGGCTGTCCTTGTATCTTTGCAGGCTCTCCCCCGGCGAATTAATGGTGATATTTATTGAATACTCTCGGCCCACATGTCCAACAAGCCGACGGCAAGTGATCGCTCCATGAGGTGCCCTGGCACAAGCGTTGGGCCGGAAAATCAATGGTCAAGTTTCGGGCACAAATTCTAAACAATGCCAACCTGGGAAGCCAAAGGGTCAAAAGGTCTGTAGTAAACTCTGGCGTCGCGTTGGGCAGAACTCCTCTGACTTGCTAAGGTGTTGCGAAAACTCGGTCAACACGGCTTCAGTCACCAACTTGGATGCCTCGATCGTGAAACCTGGCACAAAAGCCTTCTACCCATGGTAAGGCGCGGACATCCGTGCCGACTTCCCGATTTTCAGGCGGCGGCTACTGAGCCCTGCCTTCGTCAACCTGAACAATTTGGCTTCTGGCCCACTTGGCTTCTCGCCGAAAAACTCCGCGCGGTGAGGCCCCCGGTCTGCCGGTCCTGGGCACCTTCACGATCTCCTCCACCAGATGCTCGAAGGGCACGGGCACCACCTCGAAGCCGCCGATTTTGGCGCCGTCCGTCCGACGCCACAAAGATGTCCCACAAGCACGTTCTATTGGTTCAAGCTCTGGAATTCCGCATGCAACCACCAAAGACTGAAGGATGGCCACACGCCGTACCAAGCGACCCTGCCTATGTGTATAGCATAGAGAAGCCTTGTGAAACGCTTCTTTTTCGAATGGATGAGATGCAGCGGTTTACTTCGAAAGAGGTCCAAGGAATATCCGGACCCACCCCAAAACCTTTCTTTGGTGATCAGAAAAGCAGTTACCTCGAACCTCCCACCACAGCAGCGGAAACGGGGTGCAGAGAAAATACTTACCCGACAGCCCGCTTGAAAACTTCGGGGCCTTTGCTCCCGGCATCATTCACTGCTAAAACCAACCCAGGATGAACTAAACCTGGCTGGTTTTGACTGGGGTGTCCACCCCACTTAGACACGCCTGTTTGCTTCCCCTTCAAAACCCTCCACAATCGGGCTTCCGACCAAAAAAGCGAGAAACAACCTTAACATGGGTGAAGCTAGATCCCAAACAAATGATGCTGGCTTCCCTTTTCTACACCGCAGCAAAAACACGGGGGCACCCACCCACCGACCCACCGACCCACCGACCCACCGACCCACCGACCCGCCTGGGGCACCTCCTCGATCTTCTCAACCTCCCGGATGTCAGGCACATCGAGGTACCGCACCTCGCCAAGGGACCCCTCAGCCGAGGGCCAGAGTGGCCCCTGGAGCCCAGAGGGGCCCGACCCCGGACCGGCCCAAGCGACCGGCCCCGGCCCAAAACCTCAAAACCTCCACGATGCAAAGAAAGCACAGTCAAAGTTGATTTGATTGGCAACCGGAAGCTGACGTCGAACTTGAGCTGATTGGGCAGAAGAGGCTTTGACTTTCGGCTTACCCCTGAAATGCTACTCCCAAAAAAACGAGTGAAACCACTTGAGATTGGCAACAAAAAATGAAGAACTGGAAGATGCTTTTGCCACATGCCAAAAGCTCATGTTTCAACCGCCCCAAAAAAGGGAACGAGTTTGCTTCCAAATAGGGGACCTCCAAAATAGTGCTTATCCTTCGCCGTTAAACAAAGCCTTGAAAGAAACACACACCCGTGAGCAGCCGACAACACACCATACACCCGGATCCCGAAATGAGAGGGAACGACGCATCGGCCTCCTCGGTGATCACGGGGATGTCCACGAACTCCTGCTTCAGGTGCTCCTCCACCAGCGTCTCCTGGCAAGAACTCGCACCAATCCAATGGACAAATCACGGCGGAGACGTCGATTCTTATTCGGGAACTCAAAGCCACTTGTGGACAATGACACCAGTAAGGAGCCAGAATGCGAAGCTCGTCAACCTGCTTCATGTAATAACAAGGGGGCACACCCAAAAGAATTCCCCAAAAACAAAACGATCCCCACGAAAAGAGCCCTTAACCAAGATCAGAGGTTCAGTCCACCGTGCTTCTCCCTTCCCCAACCGCGCGAAGCCGCTCGGAAACTTTGGCCAGGCGGGCCCCACGATGCTGGATGATTTGCGCTGGCCTTGGGCACGTGCGAGCTGGCAGAAGCTCTCGCAGCGCGCCGGATGTATAGATAATTCCGTCCTGGGGCCTCAAATATCCGCCAAATGCCTTTAAAGAAAAGAAAGCAAGAAAGAAAGAAAGAAAGAAAAGAAAAGAAAAGAAAAGAAAGAAATAGAGAAAGAAAGCAAGAGAGCAGGAAAAACATATCATATAAAGAGAGAGAGAGAGAGGGACAAAGAGAGAAAGGAACAAGAAGAACATGTAGAAAACAAGAGACAAAGAAAGTGATAAAGAGAGAAAGAGAGAGAGAGAGAGAAAGAGAGAAAGAGAGAGAGAGAAAGAGAGAAAGAGAAAGAGAGAGAAAGAGAGAGGGAAGAGAGAGAGAGAGAGAGACAGAGAGAGAAAGAGAGAAAGAGAAAAAGAGAGAGAAAGAGAGAGAGAGAGAGAAAGAGAGAAAGAGAAAAAGAGAGAGAAAGAGAGAGGAAAGAGAGAGAGAGAGAGAGAGAAAGAGAGAGAAAGAGAGAGAAAGAGAGAGAGAGAGAGAAAGAGAGAGAAAGAGAGAGAAAGAGAGAAAGAGAGAAAGAGAGAAAGAGAGAAAGAGAGAAAGACAGAAAGAGAGAAAGAGAGAAAGACAGAAAGAGAGAAAGAGAGAAAGAGAGAAAGAGAGAGACAGAGACAAAGAGAGAAAGAGCGAAATAATATAGCAAGAAAGCAAGAAAGCAAGAAAGAGCAAGTGAGATAGAGAGACACTCACGGAGCCACAGGCATGCATTTTGCACAGCCATCATGCTCTACATGAAGAGAGGCATTCAAGAGTTTTCGGCTTCCTTGCCTCGTATCGCGCAGAGCTCAACACCCGCTGACTTTTGGTTTATACAGATCTGAAATCACCAGGAAGTAACCACCCAATTATCAAAGCCCGAGACGTGCGTCTTCGGCCCCGCACGAGGTGTGCTGCTCGAGTCGCCGTTGCACCACCTCTGGAGGCGCTGCCTTGCGGAACAAGAACTTCCATTTCATTTCGACCGACAAAACGAGCTGAAATAGGGTCAATGTGGTGACGCCCTGCCCAGCCTCCTTCACTGACCGTGCCTGGGCCGGAAAAGAGGCAGGCTCGGCGCTCAAAGTCATCAACCAAACGAATACAACGTGCAAGACTTGGTGGGACATGGCAAAAACGATGAGCAAAATATGGCCCAAGCAACAGCATCCCAGATTTCATAAAACACATGTTCACAAAGGTGACCTCCTAAAGGATTTGCTGAGTCGAAGTCGGCGCTATGTCAGAGGGAATTGCTGAAAGGGACAGGCTTCCCTCGGCAAATCCACCAAGTGTCTGAAAGGTCTGAGGCTCTGGGGAGGAGCCCGTTTGCCATCAAGGTGCTATCTAGAAAGAGGTAAAGAGGGATGCTCCCCAAATGAAGTTGCTACATCCGTGTCTTGCGATTGATCTGGCTCATTATTCTGCCTGCGAAAGCGCACACACACACACACACATACATACATGAACAAAGGAATGCTTTGCCATTGAAGTTTGTCGATGAAGTCTTCCTGGCTGAGGGGCAGGCTTGACACATTGAACGGCAAATGATGTCGCAAGTGCAATGGAAAGTGTCGTCCTCATATCAGTTTCAAGGTTTGCGTTTGGGGTCAAGCATTCAACAACTTGTTCGGTGACTGCCTAAGGGCCTGCAAGTCTTGCGGTGTCATATGTCTTTGTTTGTATTCCTAACATCACTGTGCCAAAAGCAACAGGATAGCAGAGGTTTGCGGGCTGCCTGCGCCTGCATTGTTTGCCAAGTGATATGAAGTACCAGCACAGCCCTACTTACAGTGCCACAACTGCAGCACATTTCATCATTGCATGTTCCCGCAAACGCTTTAGTGCTCCCTGATGATGCTTGATGGGAGCTCCGACAAGTCGAGCATTCTCTGCACATCTCCCAATTCCTGCGCCACAGGAAGCAGAAAAATGAAGAATCACTTCATGAAACAGGTCCCTAGCTTTCTGTAATTGGTGGTTTCCACTGGTGTCTCATGGTAAAAGCAAGGAACCCTGTGCAGGTCCTACGCATTCATCTCACAGTTTGGCTGGTTTCCCTCACGGCAGTTCATGCGGCTGTCAGAACT